AAAACAAAATTGTTAATTAATATAAATTTATTTCATTATAATAATATAATGAACAAATATTCGCTAAAATAAATAAAATAAATAAAAAAAAAAAAGTATAATAGGCAGGGATCGAATTCAGGTCGACAGCGTGATAACCCAGAGCCTAAGTGCCCGAGCTACACCGCCATCTCGGTAATCGACCCAACAGGACCGGAATATAAGGGACGCCATGAACTTCAAATCGATTTTTCTCGAAAACGGCTGAGCGTTGCGCCCTATCCTTTTACTAAAGTACTCTTCTGATAGAGTACTATACCATATAAAAATTTCTTTGAAATCGGTGACCCGAAGTCCGCGTCCTCTCCTTGTTAGTTCAATATAAAATTATTAGTTTGAACATACAAAACGGAGATGTTTACTAATACTAGATTATAAGAATGACATCAAACCTTTAGAATTGAGTTTAGATGTTTAGTATAAAAGATTACTATGTTTGAAAATTTACGGATATATGTGCATGCAAATTGAAGTAATAAGATAAAACAGAGTAATAGATTATTTGACAAATATAGCCATATAGGCACTGTACTAGAATATATGTTAGAAATAGTTGATATTTAATGTAACATTAACACTGTTCGTAAAGCTCTAACCTGTACATCGTACAGTGTACGTTACTTTGTATGTGTGCATGTGTGTGAAAATATATATTGTTTTATGTGCTGTGCAGTAGAAAAATAATGGGATAAAAAACTTGTCCCTCTTAAACTTGCAAAGAAAACATAGGTAAAGAAGTTAGTTGTTTTTTGATATTTGAAGGAATCGTTTCAAAAAAATATTAATTGATATTACTTTCTAATTGTCACCGAAATTCCTCCATTATCAATATGATTTTGAAACAATTCTCAAACAAATAAAGCTAGAGGCGATTTATTGTGAGCTAATAATTTTTAATAAATATAGTCAGAGACGATTTAATTTAAGCTGATCATTTTTAATGAATAATGCCAAAAGCGATCTAACCTGAGCTGGTCACTTTTAATAAATATATGCAGAGGCGATTTATCCGTAGGCTGGTATTTTTAATAAATATAGTCAGAGGCTCATAGACATTACATCGATGATATCAGTCTGATTTTTAGTTTTATCTAATAAATAGTGGCACTTTCACGTTGGAGTTCGTCACTCCAGGATCCCCTTAAGATAATTATTTACATGATGTCTATCACAATACTTTTTTGCACAATAAAGGATCTTACATGATTCTTATGAGGAAACTTTATGTTAGGTCAAATTGTCTGAATTTTTTATATGTTACAGTTTTTATGTCTCTAATCAAAAAATATGCCTTAATGGCAAAACCCTTTTACAATTTTTTAGTTTTAGACATTTAAAAATTTTTTCCGTAACATCCGTCTGCATGCTAACCTACGCAAGTTTGTCGTGCATACTCGTCTGTGCATACATATTTTTGTGTACATAGATGACTACGTTTGTGCATGTATGCTACTTTTATTAATGGAAGTTGGTACAATTACAATCGACCATCCCATTCCAGAGATGCCAACGTTACGGCATTGTTATTTGCGATGCTCAGCTGCTAGCTGGCACCATTGAGCTATATAACATACTGGAGAGAGCCTTGAAAGAGTGGGGTTCCACTGTGGAAAGAGAGAGTTTAATATTGCCGGATCTGTCTCATCCCCACCAATACACGATGTAGATGTGGAAAAAATACAGACATCCCCCGGCTATTATTGTTGTCCTTGGTCCGAAAACTACATATTGGCATATTGGCTCTTATAGAAAGGCTCTCTCCAGAGTATGTTACAGAGCTCAATAGCTAGCACCTTGTAACGACCAGTCGTAGAGTAGGTAAAAGAAAGTATTACTAATCATCCGGAAGTCATTATTTTCAGACAAAACATATGAGCTCCTTATTTCCCAAGTGGTGTAAATTCAATTTCTAAATTGCTGGGAAATCAATGTTTTGTGTTTGGGCTGCCAATTTGTTATTGTTTACTCCTCCAATTTTGTTCTGCTCCTAGCAGCTTATTCATGAAGTTGACATAAATGTGATCTTTAATTAATCCCAAATTATATCAAACACTAATTTATTATTAGTATATAATAAGTATAAAGTTTTACCAAAAATCCGATGGTTTTATGGAAATTTCAGTGTATGTATAGTGTGAATGTGAGGAAATGTGTTGTATGATTCTGTTACGTCCTAC